GGTGTAAAATTAGCTCTGACAATGATCTGACGGGTGAGTCACAGGGCTGCCGTGTCGTTCCCCCATCTTGAAAAACTATAATAACGGAGAGGGACAAAAAAGCACTAGTCCACCGCAACGCGTTTTCATTGAGAGCCGGCTGACTGAAACGGACGCAAGGAGGTCAGTGAGAGGCGCTTGAAAGGCTGCACTGCTGCACGATACTTCATAATGCAATCCTCATCGCCATGATAATGCTTAAAAATTGAATCTAAAAGGAAGGGTGACCGGCAAATTTAAAAACAAGGGTGAATGTCGGGACAGCTTTTCCCAGGTGGATAGAGAGTAATGAAGGAGAAAGACTTGAAACAGAACGTAGAAGTCCTGCTTTCTTATCGACAGTTAAGTCAATGGTCTAAATTGCAAGCTTTTCATTCCGTGTGGTTGTGTAATTGATTATATAGACGGCGTAACGGTAGAATGTGTATAGTTAAACTCGAAAAAGTGCTATTGGACGACATGTCCTAGCTTCTTGGCACATAACGGTCACCGTAATCACAACACGCATTTAAAAAAAAAACGCGGCGCTAGAGAGTACTATGCGTTTGAATGGCAAATAAATTTCACCGCTAGATGGATGAAATTCCTACACGGCGTGCCTTTTAAGGACGAAGCTGTAGGGTCTTTAACAAAAGCTCCAAAATGGAGGAGGTCAAAGGGCATGTTTCTGCTATAGAATCATCGGCTCTCCACAAAGTCTGTTCATGTCGTCAACACCAAAAAGCTGACATTTGAAAATTCTACATATATTTTGTACATATAGTATATTCTCAGTGAAGGGTTTCACTTGTGTCTTTTTCCACAATGAATAAGGATAGTTTTGGGAGATACAAGAAAAGTAAAATGATATATCTTATACGTACAAATGGTCATAGCGACCGTAGAAAAGTAAGATCATGCTTTGAATTAAGATGTGTAAATTAAATATTCGGTCAAGACCAACTTTACTTATGGAACATCATGGACAACACTGCGTCTCTGAAAAGTGTGTGGTGATTTTCTAAATGATACAGCTTAATCTAAATAAGTGCAAACGTAGAGTCGTGTGATTTCTTTTAAAACAACAAAAACAAACTTTGACAACTTGTTTCATGTGGCATGGACAAAAATAATGTTTGAAATATTTAGTAGAAATAAGTAGAAATAATTAATTTTTGTTACATTTTAGTATAAATAATAGCTTTGGTTAAATTTATGGAAACCTATTTATATCATAAAGAAATCTTGTAAGATAAACAGATGATAGGACTTTAATAAAAACTTAAACAGTCTTTAATTTTAAAAGATCTAATTGAAAATTTTAAGATTATGCTTTTAAGTGAATTTAGAATAAAAATTTAGAATAACATGACATAATTGTGGCCCAGTGGCTCATCTGGCCTGTAACTCCTCCGTCTCTGTGAGGGTCTGAACCTTCATCTCACCCTATCACTAACGGATATGAGAGGTCTTTGTTTATGACAGCTTAAACTATTTGCTTTTTGCATAGTCTTTATCATTGCCGAGATCTAGTTTGCATAGAATGAGTTTTTTGTAATTATACATGTAATTGATATATTCTTTAGATAAAACTATGTTTAATTTGTACAAATACATTTTAGTAACATATGTGTTATTATTCATTATAGAGTTATATATCATTTAATTTATAATCATTTGATTTAAATAGAGATTTTATGCTTTGTGAGTGCAAAACAGCTTTATTATAAATTATATTCAATTATTTATTGAAAATGTAAAAATCCAGTTTTCTCTGACGGTAGAGTTTTAGGTGTATGGTATAGAATACGCAGTTACGGTACAAAAATTGTTATGGCTATATTAATAAAAATACTTTTAGGTCGGCATTAAACAAAATCATTAGAGTAATCTTTAAAAGAAATAGAAGATATGAATGTATTAAACTATAAAGATTTAATTTAAACAATCTTTTCATTTTAAAAGCTTGAAACTTTTACGATTATGATTCGAAATAATTCTAGTACGAACAAAACTTTGACTCGGCGATGCACAGAGACTCATCTGCTCTGTCACTATCCTGAAGCTAATGGGTGGCCGGCCTTTGGCATCACAGTTTCTAAAATGTCTTCATTGGTGCTCTCGCACTAAAGATAGACCTATGTGGTGATTTTCGCAGAGATACTACTTAAGGAATTATTGAACATTTCACACAATGTGTGAGATGACTTGTGAGAGATCGAATTTTTTACATGCACCCTGATAAATAAAAATATAGTCAAGTTTTTCCATAGACCGCTGATGTAGCATATTTGTTTTATGAATTAATTTAATTTATTTTAAAACATCTGGTATTTTTAAAAGATATCATTTAAACTTTTAAAGATTATACTATGAAGTAAGATTAACACTAATCAAACATATGGAATGTCTCCGCTGAACCGACACACACACACACAATGCATGCCTGTAAAGCGAGGGGGAGAGAGGATCACTTGTGGGAGATCTTAGTCTTAAGATCTTAGTCTTATTTTTGAAATGAACGATAAAAGCATTTAGTGTGAAATGTTATATTTGTAAATTAATAATTGCACATTTATTACCATTTCATTTATATACTTTTGAAGATCAAGGTTTTTCAAGTTAGTGTTAAATAATAATAATTTTGTAAATTACTAGATGTAAATTTATAACTATTTTCATTTATATAGAGCTTAATGTTTAGTGTGAAATATATCGTCCTCTCTTGAAGGGGTATTATGTAACACACGCACACACACAGAAAATAAGTATGAGAGAGTCCCTCTGACTTAGAGGATTCAGAGAGGTCTAAAGTAATTTATTGCCATTTATTACACAGAGACACACACACACACACACACACACACACACACACACCACTCCGGCCATGCATGGGGGAGAGAGAATCACAGGGAGATCTTCACAACTTTAAACTCATCTTTTGTAAACCATCCATGTATTGTATGGACATCTTAGGAAGTACTTTGTCGACCAGCTGGAAAAAGTAAGATGGTTTTATTTTTGATAGACTCTTAGTCAACTTATAATCTATAAAACATGTATTATTTTACAATGAATGATAAAGCATTTTATTGATATTCTTTTTAAATGAACCATGGTTTTAACTTAGATAGTGAGAAAAAGTTTGAACTTTATTCTAACTGTTTCAGCACAGGATGCAGGAATGTAATGCTGTTACAGACACACAGATACACACACACACACACACACACATGCTCACGGATGCTGCTGTTGAGAGGGAGAGAGGTTTTTCACATCTTGATGAAAATAAAGTAAGATGCTTTTTCACATTTAAATCTAAATGTTTTTCCTTATAATCTATAAAACACGGTTTCATTTTTTTAGCTCGTGTAAGATTTTTTTCTCTGGGTGAAGGAATGTTTCAGCCATCTCACACCCCGACTGTCACAGGGCCCGAAGGACTGTGAGAGAATCTTCACCACTCAAGTAAGCCGCTTTTATTTTACAGACTTGTGATACGGTCATTATTAGAAAATTATTCCATCAATGCAATGGCATAATGGGATGGGGAATTCTGTAGAACAGAGACCACCCATTTTATAGACGGCTTTTCTGGTATGGGAGGGGGGCTACATCAACGATAAAACCAGACAACCGGGGTCAAACCTGTCCATTTTGATCGATCGCTTCCTGGGGTCACTAAGAGGACAAAACCATACATGTTCACACACATGTTTTTTGGATTAAAAAAGGTCATCCGGTCAAAACCACACATGTTCACACACACACATGTTTTTTGGATTAGAAAGGTCAACGGGTCAAAACCAGAATGCTCCCACACATGTTTTTTGGATTAGAAAGGTCAACGGGTCAACACCACCTGTCCATTTGATTGATCGGTAGGTCAAAGGTTAATCGATATCCCAGACACGGTATGTCAAAGGTCAAAGCTTTATGACCACTTCAAAGATGGCATCCGGAAGGTCAAAGGCCAGCCCCGCCCACCTGTCAATCAAAAAGCCATAAATCATTTTGACACATGGGGCCCTCTATAACTACTCACGAGGACACAAAATTTTGGTCTGATGGTAGTCATTTTCTTTTTGCCCCAAGAAAAATTAATTATAAATTATCTCTAAAATATGTTATTTGTTCTTATACACACAGAAGCAAATTGTGTAAATATGTGGTGAATTTCTTCATTTTGCATGGTAAATATTATATCCATAAACAAAAATTTGCATTCCAAAAATGCATTCCAAAATGTAATCTATTTTTAATAGAGATTGAATCGCTGAGGAAGTCACTTAAATTAGTTAAAAATAAAAAGAATGAAATGTTGTTAAACTTTATGGAGGAATTCTTCATATTGTAATTAATGCCCCCACTTAGTTTACCAAATTATATGAACATTGTGTCTATAGGAAAAGAAAGAAATAATTAGCTTTTTTTATGTATATTTATTTAGTTTTTATTTGTATTTTTTTCTCTTCTTCTTCTCCTTTATTTTTGTTATCCCTTTTTATTTGTTTGAACATGTTTCAATATATGTGATATCTGTAATGTGAAGCATTCCTGTTATACCGTATTTTGTATTTGGATTTATTTCTCAATAAAAAAATAAAAAAATAAAAAATAAATTAAAAAAATTAAACACGAGGACACATGAATGAATAAATAGCCTATATAAAATGATGTTGTGCATGAATAAATATGGCAACACAAAAATTGTCAATTTTGATTTAATGATAGCAGATTTACTTATAATGCACATTTTAAAGAAATGTCCTAAGTGTTTATTTAACATCTGTCAGGAAACATTTTAGAGACATTTTGCAGATAAAAACATGCACACACAGTAGACATGATGTATGTATGTTCTTATTATTATTCTTTGTTATCTTCTTCTTATTATTATTATCTTTGAAATGTTCATGTATTTAGCATCATACAGACAAATAAGTTTGAGAACGTCGTGACTTTTATTATGACAGAAGACTCTTATCTCGAGCACTTCGGCATCACATGACACTGATTGAACATGGCTTCAGTTCAGTGGTAAGAAATGTTTACATTTTAAAACATTTTGACGGTATTAAACTCTAACGCGACGTATTGTTAATGAATAGAGGAATAATGAAGAATATGTACATTGTATTATATCTGTACTAGCGATTAAACATTGTTGTAGACTAGAGGGAGGTGTAACGTTAGTGTAATGACAGCACAGTTGATGGTATCAGACTCTGATACAAATTTTGATACTATAATGATACTGAGTATCATTGAATACCCAGTATCATTATAGTGCAAAGAATATTGTGGTATTATATTTGTACCATGACATACCATCATATCTATCATATGTTTTGGTCATCATATCCATCAATCAAATTAATTCCATTATAGTGATATGTCCAGAAACACGATGTAACTTACCGTTTGCACAATTTATTGTACTTCAGTCATATCTAGCGTTAATATGATAATCAATATGGCAGCTTTATATGTGTTTTGCACAGGTACTCTCGGGGCCGTAAATATGAGAGTGAATGGCATGGGTGTCAGTTGGAGAGTTCACCAGTGGAGTTCAATGACTATCATCCACTCAAAGCCATCACGGTATATCCACAGTTCTCATAAATACTCATTAAATGTTTAATTTAATTTAATATAAAATAATACTGTTCAGTATTGTTACAGGTTTAGTGCTCCTCAAGTAAACAGGGTTTGAGTGTGTTGATCATTAATACTTTAGGACCTTTTTTAATATTGTGTAAATAATTCCATATATGCCTTCAATTTGTAGTATGTTACCTATCCGAGTGTCTATCTGTTCATACACAAGCAATTAACGGATGTCTTATAATGCTATTATTCTTCAGTGTATTCTTGACCAAAACACCAAACCTATGGTTGCTTCAAGAAGGAATGTGTGATAATAAGTGAATTGTAAAATGCAATTGGAACAAAAGTAACTTCATGAACAAGTTATTTCAGTCATAAGTTTGGTAAATAACCGTCTTCTTTTAAGGTGACAGATTCTAAATCTCGGCGTGGGGGGCGGAAAGGCAGCACCTCCTCTACATCTTCTTCCTCTAGTTCTGTGGCTCTGGATCCACTCAGCTCTATGCTGGATGGGACCGACCCACTGTCTCTCTTCGCTGCGGCATCTGAGACCCCAACTCTCCCACACAGCATCTCTGCTGGGGTAAAATTCACAAACCTCATACACATACACACACCAGTAGAAGTATTATTAAAATCATAATGTGCACTAGTACCCCTATAAAAAAAATCACTTGTGTAATTGTAGTATCGGATGGAAATACCATAATACTTACAGTACATACATACCATGGAATTCAATGATTGCTAAATAAAGGTTTCAAAGGTACTTCAAAGAATCCCATGGTATTGTTAAGTATCACTGAATTGTAATCAGTTCAGCGCTGCGCTTGGTTCTAGAGCTGGTCGGGCAGGATGGGATCCAGTGGTTTGGGTTCCACACAGTTAATCCAGAAGTTAGTGCAGCTGGCTTGGTTCTGGTGACCTCCGTACATGAGCTTGAAGTTGCCCGTCTCCGAATTAAATGTCTTTCTGTGCAAGTCCACATTGAGCAGACACTCTCCGCATGCCAGTTCAATATACAGGAAAAAGAAGTCCAGTGAGCTCATTTCAGGAGTGAAGTCCTGTGAGCTCACTTCAGGAGTGAGGTTTCCAACGACATGAAGCCCATCAGTATGTTCCACACACGGCAGCTCCTGTAGTTTAAAGAGACATCCAGTGAGAGACATTGGCCCTCATTTATCAAAAGTGCGTACACCAAATTTCCAGCGTACACCTTGCGTACACTCAAAACCACGGTGAGTTTGACATTTATCAATATGGACGTGGGCGTACGGCACGCTCGAATCCTACACCAGCTCAGGAGGTGGTGTACGCACGTTTTGAATTAGTGAGGAAATGCGCAGAAAAATTCCTAACACCACAAAACGCACTGACAAACTAAAAGATATATTATGACCCACTGTAAAACAAACAAACAAACAAAAAAACAACATAGAAATTATAAACTTCAGTGTTTATTTTTGTGTAACGTGGACTTCAATGTTTAAATTGTGTGACTTTACCAAAGCATTTGATTTGTAAGCATATGTATTCCTTCAGTTGCGAGCCCGCTTTACCCTGACGTTTCAGGATTATCCTCGGCAGGTGCGCATGGACTGGGTTCGGTAATGAAAGGCTTTCAATGACCAAAAAATAATTCAGACTGACAAAATAATAAAAAAAAAAAAACGTTCTTCTTCTTTTAAATGATAATAATAATACAAATAATAATAACAACATCCTTCTTCTAAATAACAATAAGCATCATTAATACAAATCATAATAATAAGAAGAATACTATTACAAATTGTCAAGCAATTATTAATGTGAATGAATGGTAGGCCTACTTCACATCACATCATCATCATCACTATTATACATGTGACGTGATTCGAAATTGAATGCTAATTTCAAAAGACGTGCTGTAAAATAATGCATTGTGATAGGTCATTTCGGCTCCACGTCGGAGAAGTTTCTCTTCTTTGCCGTCTTCCGTGTGTCCATGACGTAAAATAAGGGCGTGGGGGGAGCGGAGACTTGAATATTTAGGGGCGTGTTATTCTAATGACTATTGTTTTCGGCTGCGGGATTTATCAAGGGCAGGCATTGCGTACACCTGGATTTCAAAGGTACGCACATCTTCATAAATCAGGCAGGAGGAGTGTAAGCATAATCTCACGCCAACATATACACCCGTTTCTACGCAAGATTGATAAATGAGGGCCATTGTGTTTGTGCATTTTGAACACACATCATACGTTTGTTATGGTCTTATTCACTTTTTACTATTTTAGGAGTTGGGGCGGAAACGGCAGGAGAAAGAGGAGGAAGTGGGCTTAGACTTTGAGCCGTGGTCATCTAAACGTGGAGAGATTCTGTCTAGATTCACCACCACAGAGAAACTGTCTATTGTAGGTGCAGCCGTTTGCAGCTCTTACTCATCCTGTGACTTTGCACTTTTAACAGACATTAATCAAGATTTTATTTATCTTTCAGAACCTCTTCATGGGCTCAGACAAGAGTGAGTTCATTGTTTTTGAAGACTCTTTTTTTTCTGTTCTTGGTTTGTAGCTGTTCTAGTTGTTGTTATTCCAGGTGGTTTGACAGCTCAAAGTCAAATCCTCATTAAGCCTTCATTCATTTTAAAAAGTCTTAGGCTGAATCCCAATTCTCTGTCTTACCCCTTCCCCTTCGTCTTACCCCTAGCCCTTGTCCCTCGAAACCGAGTGGTAAGCGCTAGTGCAAACATACCCCTATGAAATGAGACACCACTCGGTTACGTCATCTTGCATCGTCCTTAACTGGCGTCTGTGTCACCCGGGGCAACAAGTGTTGATCACAAACTTCTCGAAACTTTCAAGATGCCATCAAAATGTCCGGGATTGGGCTTTTGCTTTCCGTCTTCACTATTCATTATGTTTACATGCACAAGGTGTTGTTTCAGTCGGACTGAATTCATTCATTTATATCGGTGAATCTGAATGTATTGTTGATCTAATATTCCCGTGTTTTCGTCTCAGTCGGGATCCGTTTGAAGCTAAATGCATCATCTGAGAAGCTGATTTCAAATAATGTACACATAATGAATGGCGACTGTAGAAAGCAAAAGCTGAATCCTGGACATTTTGAGTGATCTTGAAATGTGGGACTGATTGTGCAACTCAGCAATGTAATGTTAGCATAGCCTAGCATAGCAAAGTAGCGATTTTTAAAAACGTTTCAACAATAAACAACATAAATTAGTTGCAAATATATGTACATAATTGTGTAGAGCACATAACAAGACGGTCATATTTTTTTTTCGCGAAAATTCTTGGTCTTTAAGGGGTATACACCCCTTCACCTTACCCCTACCCCTAGATCAAAATGAGAATTGGGATAGCCCTTCCTCTCATGTGAACGCGCAAAACTAAGGAGAAGGGATAAGACAAAGAATTAGGATTCAGCCTAAGTCAATGAATTTTATTTTATTTGACTATTTCATTTTATTTTACATTTTTAATAAATAATTGAGGATTGGTACCTGACATACATTTTTACATTTCTAAATACATATATAATATATTATTTCTCGCAGATTTTTTTCACGGAAATCGCTGGTGCTCGTATGGTCGCAGCTCGCAGTGTGTGAGAGGAATTATGAGATGAGCCGAGTGTGTTACGAGCACTTCCCGACCTCCTGATAATGTTTAAACATGCCTAAAAAATTCGGGAGTCGAATTTTCAGCGCATAGGCTGCCCGTGTTGCCAAATCATACACAACCATGTGTCACACAGGCTAGATCGATTACGCAATTACCAGTGCTGAGAAACTAACATATCACTTGACAGTGGCATCAGCAACATTCTGTACAATTTTTTTTGCACATTTAATACTTTGACTTGTGTTAAGGTAAAGCATCCAGCCCTAGCTCAGCCGTGTCAGAGAAGGTGCGCACTCGTCTGGAGGAGCTGGATGACCTAGAGGAGGTGGGTCTCATCTGGAGAAGCCTTTTGCTTTAATGTCTTTGCTAGACATGTTTATGGAACATATGAAGAGTTCAGATGCAAAAGCCTCTAAGTGCCATTTGAAATTTTCTTCTAAAATGACCATTTTTATCAAGCTTGTATATTTAAGTTCAGTAATTTCACTTAAATGGCAATGAAGCTTACCTATTAATTGTCATTTAAGTGAAATTACTGAACTTAAATATACAAGCTTGATAAAAATGGTCATTTTAGAAGAAAATTTCAAATGGCATTTAGAGGCTTTTGCATCAGGGGCCCGTTTCAGAAAGGAGGTTAAGTGAAAACTCTGAGTATGTTAACCCTGAAATGAGGGAAACTCTGCGTTTTCCGTTTCAGAAAGGTGGGTATATCAAACCCGAGAAAGCAGAGTAAGTCAAGCCGTTTCTGAAAGAGAGGTAACTTATACTCAGTCAGTTACCATGGTAACTTACTCTGTGAACCTAACCTGGTCGGGAGCAGGTTTTCTTCAGTAAACTCAGAGTTTCTTGCGGTCTCCTCCCCTTTTTTAAAGAGGAAGTGCTGTTTAAACACTAACAATAAAATGTATTTACACATTCTTTAAGGAATATATATTGTTTGTCCATGTTTTAATTGACTAAATCTGTTTTGCAGCAATTTGCCAAAAAGTAAAAGGATTAAAACGTTTGCTAAACTTTTATTTGATTACCACCATTTTTTATAATATATTTCTATTAAATCATTAAAAAAATTGGAATAAAAAACATTTAATAGAACACAATTGTTTTTCAAACATAATTTAATAAGTTATTAATGATAAAAATAAGACGTTAATCTTATTCATAATCAATTATTGAAGTTAGTTGATTACATATGTTTTATTGAACAAATGTTTAATTTATTTAACTCATTTTCATTTTAACTGATGATAATAATAATAACCGTAATTTAATAATGCTGTTTATATATTTAATAATTGTTTAATACCATAAACCGTGATATTTTCTGAGACGGTTCTTATACTGTGAAACTCTCATACCCCACATGGGGGAGTCCCGCACCCCACCCCCACTGTTAAACAAGTTACTCAGCAACTTTTACTGTTTTAAATTAACTACTTTTTACTTTTTAGATTTTTAGACTGGTATTTTTACTTAAGTAAAAATGTATCAAAGTAATAGTAGCCTACTTTAGGTTGAATAACATTCTTCCAGTTTCACCTCTGATATTATAACAGTAAGTTACTGTAAAATAGTTATGAATTATTAACCACAAATGACATCTTAAACAGTGTAGTTAGATTAATGTAATACTTACTATCTCTAGAAAGTATTGGTCTACATATTACTAAATCCTATATCAACCTCAACTACTTGATTAACACAAAGAGAAGAGACAAGAAACAGCACTTTTAATTCTTTCAGATTAACAATATACAATTGCATGAATTATTCTTGAATTGATCAAAGTGTGTAGAGGGAGAAGGTTACATAAAACATATAACTTTTAAAAATGTATGTTAAATGCACTATTGTTTTATACTGAATTGTTCTATAGTTTATGCAGTAGCTTTTTTAATGTAATTGCATCATATTTTATTTTAAATTACAGAAGAATTAAGAGTAACCCCCTTAATTAAATTACAATATTTAGATCACTTGTTAATTAATTACACCTAACACCTCTTTTTGTCTGGCGCTGTTGCCATGGTGACTCATAATATCTGCGCTCCATTGATAATGGCTTTTTATAGTTGTGGTGCACGCGCTTAACTCAGAGTCAGTCAACTCAGAGTTGATTGAACTAACTCATTTCAGCTGTTCTGTAACCGAAAACTCAGAGTTTCCCATCTCAGGGTAAGTCAACTCTGAGTTCAAGCTTTAACTCAGTGTTGGTTGAGCCTCCTTATTGAAACGGGCCCCTGAACTCTTCATATGTTTATGTTTATGAATGTGCTCTGTGTATTGTGTGTGCTCAGGGCTCACAGAGGGAGCTGTTGAACCTGTCCCAGCAGGACTATGTGAACCGCATTGAAGAGCTCAACCAGTCTCTGAAGGAGGCCTGGGGTTCAGACCAGAAAGTCAAAGCCTTGAAAATCGTCATCCAGGTCTGAGGACTGTGAACACAAACCAACAGTGCACACACAAATTAATTTTTTTTTTCACATAAATATATATTTTTGTTTTTGTTTTTTGTGCAATAAACAATTATTATTATTATTTTAATATTATAAGTGAACATCAAGGAACATACTAAAATAATAATAAAAAAAAATCTGTCATGCCCTTTTAAGTCAACATGAATTTAAAATTGAGTCTATTAAAGCTCCAGTACGTAAGTTTTGGGTTAAAAATTATCCCAAATAAATGTTAGAGAAAATACATAACCAGCCAGTGTTCAAAACTATCTGCTTGCCTTTGCTCGATTCAAAACGGTAATTCCACTTTACAGTTTTTTACAGTCGCTAGGACACATTTCTCAATACTTAGGTCACTTTTTCAAAACTCTTCACACAGTTCTCCTAACCAGCTTTCAGCTCAGCACAGCAGTTAATTTCACATTCAAAATGCACTAAAACTACCAAAACACTTCATTCATTTCTCAAATCAACACATTCTTCCATAACACTAGCAAAGGTTGACAGCCAACAAACACACTTTGTCACCCACAAAACAATGACCTAAAGAACACTAACAACATGTAGCATTATACAATCTTTGTTTATAATTCACTGCAATAGAGTTTACTGGAATGAATCAGACATGATGCAGAATGCTTCAATATATTTTATGTCTTTTATTTTTATTTTTTTGCACTGAGTAATTCCAAAATACAAGAATTTGTATACACACCATCCACTGATACAGACACAATAGTAATGTTACAGTATTCTTCTTCCACCACGCATACGTATTCCTCGCCCCCTCCCAGCCCCTCTTCTTCCTCTTTCAGCCACTTCTCTGTTTCTGGCTGAGTCCATGTTTACATCACAATACAAAACTCTTCAGCAGTTGTCTCCTTTTGTAATGAAATAGAAAGAGAAACACCTGTGTAGATGTTCATCTACAATGAGAAGCTGTGGTTGGTCTAATTGTCCATTTATTTTTATAGCATTTAATTTTAAGATGCAAAATATATTTCATTAAAATATTACTGTAGAAATGTAGCAAATTGCTGTCTTTTTCAGTTTTGTATTATGTTATTGTTTTGAACATAAGTTTAACAGTTTTGAAAACAGTGTGTAAGCATATGCAAATTGGCCTATAGGAACAAATGTAATTTGAAAGATGTAGTCATTGAATGCATTTTGTGCCAAAGCAATGATAATTGATCCACAGTTTAGCCCACATATACTTCTGTTGTGCTCACTGTGTGAAGAGTTTTGAAAAAGTGACCTAAGTATTGAGAAATGTGTCCTAGCGACTGTAAAAAAACTGTAATTCCACTGGTACTGGTGGATTTCCGCGAGAGATTCGAGCATTTCGTTTCGTCATTACATCACATCTGATTCTCGGCTAGTAGGCTATATTGCCTGGGGATGTTGGAGGTGGAGATTTATACCTTTTTTTTACTGTACTTGATATAATTAAACTTATTAATATGATGGTGGATTCAGAAAGGTTCAAACGACAATCACCACTGCCAACTAGAGATTCACACGCTCTAAGATGTAAAAGACTTTGGACTGAGATTTTGGAGAAAGAGACTACAAACGGCCCATGCGAAAACAAGGATAAATATCTGAAGGGCTTTAAATGTAGTCACGCAATGCTGAACAATTTGAGAACAGTATAATTTGTACGTTTTGACGTGATATGATAATCGATCGTTAGTTTTAATCAGCGTGATTTACTGGAATGCTTTGTTCCCCTTAGTTGGTCAGACGTGGATGTTACTTACTGGCGACAAACTGGCTAGTCACACTGGCGCGGTGACTGACAGCCGTACATACTTAAAACATTAGATTCATCCACACTGTGAGGTGCCGAGGCACAACCCATGTAAAGTTGATAGTTCCACAAATGACTGCAATTGACCGTTCGCAAAAGCCACGCCCCCAGCGTCTCTGAGAAACCAAATGACCTGTAGAAGAAGATTTTATAAGCTGGTTGGTTCAGTGGCTAATTGTTTGGAGTTAGAAATATATAACTTGCGCTGCATATTTAGTAATTTTGCGCAGATACAGGATTATACATTCGCTTTGACAAGCAGGTTGTTTATAGACGAATCCGGCGAAACTACCGGAAGTAAGCGGGGCGCCATTACTGAGCTGTTGCTGGGTAGCGTTGCGCCATTGCCTCCCATTGTTTTAGTTGCAACTTGCGTCCACTGGAATAAACAGCCCGCGATTTACGACTGTCACTAACGTTACAACGTTGGCCCTTGTATAATGTCGAGTGGGTAAACAGTTTCCGTTATAAATTGTTTCTATGGTGGCAGTAAAATTTCAATTTTGAAGAGAAAACACTGTGAATACCCCGGGTCGACTGCCCCTGTCTGGTGCCGTACGGTTTACACAGATTTCCTGGGCGAGTACAAGACGTGGACATTCGCGTATAATAACAATTATTTAATGACATAAGTAAAAAAATATAATAAATATGTGATATAGTGATCAGCAAAATCTCCTCTCTTGCTATTTTTTTCTATTCAAATAACATGCTATGGTCATTAAATGGCTTTTCTGAGCTAAATATAACGTTATGTGACATAATTGTTCTCCCGCTGTTATATTGACCTCTTTCCATGGTTTAAAAACACTTATTGGTCGATATTATGTATACTTTCTAGCTGTAACGTTACCTTACCCTTGCCCGTTGCAATGTAAAAATGAGATAAATAATGGACACAAATGAAAAACATGAATTTGTTTATTTGATTTCATTTATTTATTTATTGTTGCCAAATGGACAGATCTTTTTATAGTTTCCTCGTTAGCAAACGTTAGCCTAGCTAGCTTGCCAAGCTATTTTCATAAATAATCTGTAAGATCGTTTGTACCTTCACCTGTGACTGGAGGCCAAGGTCTAACATCATCAACCCAACAAGTCATTCTGCCTGGCTGTAGCTGTCATCGAGGGTGCTTTCGCGTTATCACCGAGGTTTGTTTACATACCGGTGCATATATGTCTATGCTGGTGTAACAGCTCAGTAATGGCGTCGCCACAAGATCGCAGCCTACAGAGAACGCTCGTCGGATTCGTCTATTACCACAACAACCGATTGCATGTCATGCTGAATGCGATTGTCATATTTAAAAAGTAACTATACATAAGCGACGGAAAGATGCAGATAACCATACATTATTTAAGGTTATTTCTATTTGTTACGATATGAACTGAAGTTGTCAAGTAAGCTTCATGCTTTCCCCGTTGCGAGTGTGCACTCCTCTAAACCGTTGCTACGGGTGCTGCACTGATACTCATTTACCCCCGCGAATATCATGTTAACAACAACCCTTTAGAAAACGTTATTCCTTTGTGGATCCTCTTGATCTACTTTCTCCATGTTTCTTTGACTAATCTCAGTGTGTCAGTCTCACGCACGCTGCACCCGAGTTAACCATGTTCAACACATTTAACTGCGAGTGGGGCCATCCACACTGTTTTATCCATTGTAGGCACTGCTCACGTTGTGTTTTCGGCTTTGGAAATGGAAAGAACACAACTCCTCAAAACAATCTCTCGGGGTACCTAGTTTTTACTAACACAGTGGGCGCACCATCTTGCTTGGATTCAATGTTTGATGGACCTGCTCACATTGTTGAAAAATAGCTAGAGACACAACGTAGTTCCACAGGAAGTAAAATCTTTATTTTTCTTTCACCCTCTCAGCATTTTTCCCCATTTCAGACTCCCGCAATAAAACATTCTCGCAGACTCCCGCGATAATACATTCCCTTGCACATTAAGTTAACAATAGTAACGGTTGCTATGGTGTGTGATTGGACAATGGCCGTTTTGGGGAGGGGCCAGCGAAAGATCAATTACAGATTTCGAAGTGCGGACTACAGCTTTAACTTTCATTATATAAACATTACTAGTTTTATTGTGGATTCAATTAATAGTGCACGTTATTCAAAAGAAACAAAAAATCATAATCTCCATCAAAATGTAATAACTTATCATTCTCAAATTATTTTTGTGTTATTTCAGTGCTCTAAGCTGCTCTCTGATACATCAGTTATTCAGTTCTATCCCAGCAAGTTTGTTCTCATCACAGATATCCTGGACACATTTGGTAAGAGTTGCTCGTGATGATAATTTATTTGTTCAAGTGTTGTCAAAAATATCAGTATTTCGATTTGTATCGATACTGAAATATTTGAAACGTTTCTAATACTGCTTTTCTGCAGTATCGATACACCGATACCTGCTGCGTGTTCTTGCACACTCTTCTATTCGATGGCGAAGTGGCTCACCCTTCTCCTTTCAATCACTTGTCTCATTCAGATAATTTTACTCATTCTCGCAGTTTCACACTCACACCAAATTGACTTCTTTTTCTTGGCTTTTTGTGCTTAAATGCTGAAATACATACAAAATGATGCCAAAATGCCTGTCTTGATGAGTTTTCAGGTAAATGCAGTCAGTTTTGGAACGTAAATAGTTAGCATATTGTGTAACAGTAAATTGGATTTGTGCATTACCTCTTAAAGTGACAGCAGCCAATTAAACCTGCTGCTGTCTGTTATGTTAATTGAAGAAAAGACAAAGAGAAAATCTCTCGTTGCTCTTGACTGAATAACTTTTGTAACTTTAATTGTAAATATTAATATGTATTTAATTACTATCCGATGTTATTTTACATTTGATTACTTTAATTTCTGTAGTATTTCTAGTACATGTACAGTACTGTTAGACCCAGCTTAAAGCCTTTTTCTTTTCATTTGTCTCTTTATTCAATTGAATTTATTTGTGCTATCAGTTGCAATTTGTTAGTGTTCTAATTGACTGTTTACTAGTCTTTTTTTGTAAATCTAGTTCAAGATTAAAAAAGCCTCCCTGTGCTGTTGGCAAGCTATTACAACAACATTACCCAAATTACAAAAAAGTATGAGATAATAACAAATTATCTGTATGCTGGTATGGAAGTTTTCCCCGTGGTTTTGAATATCAATGTTTCAATTTATCAAAGTTAAAAATTCCAGTTTCATGACATCACTAGTTTTTTTCATATTTTACTGACAAACAAAAATATCGCTTTTTTTTCCAGCAACAGTTTCTTCGTAAATAAGCAAAAGTTTTAGCCATTTACATTTGTCAGTGTTGATAAACAACACCAGCAATAATATTAGTTCAAGATATAAAAAGTGTTTAAAAGCCACAAGAAGGAAAATGTCTGTCCGTGTCTCCTGATGATGTCGTGTGTGCAGGTGGTCTGGTGTATGACAGGATCTTGGCCATGTGTGCTGACCCTCATCCTTTACCAGGTAAAACATGCATCACAGCTCAGCATATTCTTTTACCATCTCAATGACTTTTTCTTTTGATTTTCCTATTAATGTCGTTCTCAGAATCATTCTCCGCTGATGAAGTGAATGACACAGCCAAAGAGACATGTCTCAACTGGTTCTTTAAAATCGCCTCCATCAGAGAGCTTGTCCCTCGATTGTATCTTCTCAACGTGATTCCAGATTCTTATTCCAGTATTTAAGCCTGGTCAATATTCCAAAAATCCATTTTAAAGCTAAAAATTCTAAATTAAATAAGTGTGTTGCAACAAACAGCAATGTTTTAAAAGCACCAGCATTTATACTCTTTAGAAAGTCATTTTACCATCTTTTAGTTATTAAACTGGTCTGCGAGAAAGTTTTGGAAGATTACAAAATAAAACATAAATATGAATTTTAACCTTAAAGTGTTATAGTGAGCCTTGACTTTAGTGCAGATATGTTGAAGCTGCTCTTCTGAAATGCAACCTCTTCTTGACGAAGTCGTAAGTATCTGAGCAATGCTACACTTCTGTTCATGCAGGCGGGTAGTTGTATAGGTCTGATGTCCTCTCTCTGTCCTTCAGTGGGATTCAGGAGACGCTGCAGAGACTGACAGCGATGATCCGAGGAATAGGAGATCCGCTGGTGGCTGTATATGCACGGGCATATCTATGCAGGGTGAGAAGAATAAAGCTCTCGGATCGTATTTTTTTGTGTGTAGTTTTGCAAGTGATGGGAGAAACAAAGCTTTTCTTAGCTAACTGAACCAATTAATGTGCAAAAAGATTCACTGTTTCGAAGCACTCGAAGCGCCACACGCTGCTGCTCAGATTGATGTAAATGCAATAATTCAAACATGCTTAAAAACTACTTTTACTGACCAATTGTAAATATTGTACTTTTTAAAATGCAATTTTTACAAATCATTACCTTTAAAATGAAGTTATGATTATATAATATTATTGGTAACATTTTACAACATGAACTACCAATGAGTAATACATTTGTACAGCATACATTAGTCTTTGTTAACGTTAACTAATGTTAACAAATACAACCTTTGATTTTAATAGTGTATCAATTAATTTTGAAATTAATAATGAAGTTTAATGAACCTTATTGGAAAGTGTTACCATGTTATTTTACTAAATTTTTGGGTGTGTTTTGTTTTTGGAGAGCTTGGTTAATCAGCCCAATAATAGACTATTAACTACAACTCGTATTCACACTCCGAATCATTGGTTCGAAACAAAATATTTCGAAGCTTGATGCAGTTTCGAAAACTAATTTAAAAAAGGTTTCATGTATGACAACTTATTTTTTACTATAGGACAGGGGTGCAAATCTCAGTTCCTGGAGGGCCAAAGCCCTGCAGACTTTAGCTCCAACCCTAATAAAACACAGCTGATCTAGCTAACCAAGTCCTTCAGGGTTATTTGAAAACTACAGGCATGGTTGGAGCTAAACTCTGCAGAGTTTACACCTCCTATATGAAGTGGTGTTTCATAAGCCGCTTTTCCACCGCTGTTGCGTCAGCAAGGCAACGGCTGACACATTTGTATTAAATTCCATAGAGCTCCGTTGTCAGACCCACAGTGGAAAATGAAACAGTATCCGTACCGGCTGGGCTGGATCGGCACGGAATGGAACAGTTAAGCAATAAGAATGGTTTGGGCCAATGGTGGAAANATCTTTTGTGTTGAGCAGAAGAAAAGTAACAACTGGAGGGTGAGTAAATGATGACAGAAATTCTGGGTGAACTGTCCCTTTAAAAAACATTGCTTTATGCTGTAATAGTGTAATTGAAGTTACAGACAGATATGTGTGTGTGGTTATGAGAATCTGTTTCTTCATGCTGGAGAGTTTGATATTAGTGGTACACTCGTGACAGGTGAACTCAACTCTTTAGAGAAACACAAGCCCCAGTCCTAACTGTAGGTGTTTACTTCTCTCTTGTTTACAGCTTTGGCTATATAGAATAGTTTTCAAAAGGGTTTAAAATGGTATGTGTCAATGCCATGTCTGATTGTACCAGTAGTGAACACGACTCATCAAACCAAGAAGAGAAACCCACAGGATTGAGTCCTGACCAGACTAGTCTTCAGCAGGTGTGCATGTTTCTCATATAAAAATACTGCTGTAGTATGATTCTGTATATTTGTGATAGAACACAAAAGGGTGGTATTGCTATTAAACACTTTTTTTTAACCTAGGAGAAAAAACATTCTTAAAAATATGTTATTTCTGTACATTAACACTAATACACATATTCACTAGATTGCATTTAGAGTAAAACTAATAACAGTTTCTTCTAGATTATTTTTTATCCCACAACTATCATTTATTTATACATTTTAACTAGAATATTAAGACTTTCATTTTGCTCTGAAATATATGAAATATATGATTCATCTTGGGTTTTTTTTTTCATGCATGCTTGTATCATAATTACTTTTGTAAACATAAGACACTGAGACCTAGAAGAAATCACTCACATGAAAGTATGACTGGTGTTGTTTCCAGATGCGGGCAGTTCTTCATCGTGTGCTGGGGCTGCTGCTCCACATGTCCATTCACAGCCATCAGAGAGTGAGTACACGTCCTCCGAGACCCTGCGCAAATACATCTGGTTAAAATAATTAAATTAATTAATATTTTTTTTGATGCAGGTATTTTATCCTTATTTAATGTTTTTATTTCAGGGAAGAAAACCATTAAAAAAGTAATTAAACTAAATCTATGTCATTTTTATGATCAAAAACCACATATGAATCAGCTTAACAGTTGCATTTATTGTGGTTTACAAATTCTAGAGTATTTGTGGAAACAATTCATAAATAAATCTTCCAAATGAATATTTCTCTCATTATTAGTTTGTGAAGATGAAACTATGGAGAGTCTGACAAAAGGTATCTGAAGAAGAGTATTTATTGCAATATCAGCAATAATATCTGAAGCTATTCACTAAGCTGCAAATAAATGCTCATGTGCAGTTTATCTTGTACCACAACACATTTCCAGCAAACACTAATACTGAAGAAATGTTCTCTCATTTTAGTTCGTGATAATGAATCTATGGAGAGAGAGACAAAAGAAGGTATCTGAAGAGGTGTAATCACTGCAATATCTGCAATAATATCTGAAGCTATAAACAGTAATAAATGCTCCTGAATATGTTGTAACAGGAATCTTGAACCAGAACACATTTCCAGCAAATAAAGCTGGAGTTCCCTTTCGTAGTCACTTCGAGTTACGTCAGAAGTGACGGAGATTGGGGGTTTCGCATAGAAAGCCAATCCTCTTCGAGTATTTAAAAACGAGCCAATGGCATGCAATGCCTTGGGGCTGCGGAAATTTGCATAGCGTACTCCACCCTACTCCGTGAGTATAAAAGGAGGAAGTGAACGCAACCGCAGTATGTTTTCGCTTCGGAGCCAAGAGAACCTCTTCACTCCTGAAAGCCATTCTCACTGTTCAAGACTCTTCGAGACGAGCGTCCTCTTCAGTGTTGGTGTGACGGCGGTACCCAGCGAGATTCTGCATCGCCTGCGATCTGAGCAGTGGTCTGCCAGACTTTGCACTTCACCCTGGTAGCCTCAGCGCTGAAAGAGTGAATTTCCTCCTCTCATTGAAAGAGCTGCACGCGGCACGTCTTTTTAAAGATGGTTCGCCCGTGCTCTTCTGGGTGTGGTAGATTTCTGTCGTCATCTGATGGTCACGAGCGCTGCTTTGTATGCCTGGGCATTCAGCATGCAGCAGCAGCGTTCGTGGATGACTCATGTTCTTTCTGTGGGAACATGACCATCTCTTCACTGAGGTCGAGGCTCAATGATCTCACTAGAGTGAGAGCCCCGGTCCTCCCTACTCGATTGGCTTCCTTCACGGAAAGGGGCCCGTCGACCCGGGGACCCGGTGGTTTTAAGGTGACGGTGTGGGATAAAGCCCCGACGATTCCTCGGGCCACACCTCCCGCCTCAGTGCGAGAGCCAGCGAGCGTTAGCTCGATTCAGTCGGCTGCCTCTTCGGCGGCGCCGGCTGCTTCGGGCAGCGCTCCAGATGATGATGTAATGTCTATCACAGCATCACTAGGCGGGCTAGAGTCCTCGGGAGATGAGGATGCGGCTGCGTTGCCTCCTTCGGGGGTGCCAGCGTTGTCCGCATCGGATCCCGAGCTGACGGCCATGCTGTCTCGAGCCGCTGGGAGTATCGGGCTAAAATGGAAACCTCCGTCCTGCCCCGATCTTTCACGGATGGATAATTGGTATTTGGACAAAGCTGCCGCCGCAAGGCCACGGCCAACTCCAATACCTTTTTTCCCCGAGCTGCATGCGGAGTTATCGCGCTCTTGGGGGGCTCCCCTGTCCACTCGAGAGCGCGATCTCTCCCCCGCCTTTCCCCCCTCGATGGTGGGGCCGCCCGTGGGTACACTGGGATGCCCCCGGTGGAGCGCTCTGTCGTGATGCAGCTGTGTCCTCCTCCCGTGGTCCTCCTAAGCACCCATCCAAAGCCTGTGGGTTCTCGTCTGCTATGGCGGCGCGTTCCTATAGAGCGGCGGGACAGGCGGCCTCCGCTTTGCATGCCCTGAGCACTTTGCAGGTTTTCCAAGCGAAGATGCTCAGAGACATGCACGAGGGCGGGACTGATCCAACGGCATTTAAAGATTTGCGGTCCGCCACTGACCTTGCTCTCCGGGCAACGAAAGTGGCCGCTCGCGCCGTTGGTCAGGTGATGGCCACCAGTGTGGTCCAGGAGCGTCATCTTTGGCTCAACCGGGCAGACGTTAGGAGCGCTGAGCGGACTCGTCTGCTCGACGCCCCTCTCTCCCAGGTTGGCCTTTTCGGCGGTGCAGTCGAGGACTTCGCCCAGCAGTTCTCCACTGCCCAGAAGCAGACGGAGGCAATTAAACACATTCTGCCCCGGCGACCAGCTGCTGCCTCCACCCAGTCGCCGGCACAGATGCCTCCCGCTGCTCGCCGCCGAGGACGCCCCCCTGCGGCTCCCCTCCCTCCCGCCCGGCCCCAGCAGCAGCCTTCACCCGGGCCACGGCGTGGAGGAGGCCGCAGGCAGGCGTCGCAGCCCCCTCAGGCCGCACGCCCCGCTAAACGCCAGGCCAAGCGACGATCCTGACACGGGTTGCTCAGTGACGAAGTCGAGTCTTTCCCAGGAGGCGGTAGCAGGCCCCCTCCTTCCCCCGGTGGAGGGCCGGGGGAGAATCTTTTGTTTTTAGCTCCCCGCTGCTCACCCACGGGTGGGCAGCACCCTGAGTTTGTTAAAGAAAGACTTGACATCATCACTGAGCCCACAGACTGGAGTGGGTGCGCTCGACGTCCCAGTGCGTCAGCCCACACACTCCTCTCTGTCTCTGAGGGCGCGGAAGGGTGCGTGTGTCGTCCCCGGGCTACGCCAATCTCTTCCCCCTCTATCTCCAGACCCCCGGCAGAACAGACCCCCGTGGAACGCTCTGCCTTCCCTGGTCCCTTCTGTCGGAGAGCGGGCTTCGACGGTGCATCCGGGCGGGGTAACTCCTGCGCGCATGCTGGTCGACCCGCCTCGCTGCCCCTCCGGGGGGACGTCTGTGGTTCGTATGACCCCGCTGGTTCACTTCCTGGAAGCCTGGCTAGAGCTGCCCGGGCTGTCCCGCTGGGTCATCAGAACGATCAGATTCGGCTACGCGATTCAGTTCGCACGGTCTCCTCCCCGTTTCAGGGGAGTTCGCTCCACGATGGTCGGTGGCAATACCCCGGTCATGAGAGCGGAGATTGCGACCCTGCTGGCGAAGGGTGCAATCGAGACGGTCCCTCCAGCCGAGATGAGGTCCGGGTTTTACAGCCCCTACTTCATTGTCCCCAAAAAGACCGGTGGGTTACGACCGATCCTGGACCTGTGCATTTTGAACCGTTCTCTCCATCGACTACCGTTCAAAATGCTCACAGCCAAACGCATTCTCGAATGCGTTCGGTTTCAGGATTGGTTTGCAGCGATCGACCTGAAGGACGCGTACTTTCATGTCTCCATTTTGCCTCGACACAGACCGTTTCTTCGGTTTGCTTTCGAGGGCCAGGCATATCAGTACACGGTTCTCCCATTCGGGTTAGCTCTGTCCCCTCGCGTCTTCACGAAGATCGTCGAGGCAGCCCTTGTTCCCCTTCGTGAGCACGGGGTTCGCATCCTGAACTATCTCGACGACTGGCTGATACTGGCACACTCTCGAGCTCAGGTTTGCGAACACAGAGACCTGGTGCTCCGGCACCTAGCCCGTCTGGGCCTTCGGGTCAACCGGGAAAAGAGCAAACTTTGCCCCGTGCAGAGGATCTCTTTTCTCGGCATGGAGATAGACTCGGTCGCCATGTCCGCGCAGCTCACGAGCGAGCGCGCGCACTCACTGCTGACTTGTCTTCGACAGTTCGAGGGCAAGAGTGCGGTTCCACTGAAACTATTTCAGAGGCTCCTGGGGCATATGGCATCCATATGGCTTCATATGAGACCGCTTCAGCTGTGGCTTCGCGATCGAGTCCCGAGGTGGGCATGGCATCGCGGTTCGCTCCGAGTTCCAGTGACTCCAGCGTGCCGCCGAACCTTCTTACCGTGGTCGAACCTCAGCTTCTTACGGACCGGCGTCCCTATCCAGCGAGTTTCCAGGCATCTCGTTGTCTCCACGGATGCATCTACCACGGGTTGGGGTGCCATGTGCAATGGGCATGCAGCCGCCGGTTCCTGGACAGGAGCCCAGCGCCTCATGCACATCAATTGCCTCGAGCTGCTGGCAGTACGGCTCGCCCTGCACCGCTTCAGAGCGTTGCTGTCGGGCCAGCACGTGCTTGTCCGTTCAGACAACACTACGGCAGTAGCGTACATCAACCACCAGGGGGGTCTACGCTCGCGCCGGTTGTCGCAGCTCGCCCGCCACCTCTTGATATGGAGTCAGAAGCACCTGAGGTCCCTTCGTGCAGTATACATTCCTGGAGACCGGAACCTGGCAGCCGACGAGCTGTCACGGGTCCGTCCCATCTCCGGCGAATGGCGACTCCATCCCCAGTCGGTCCAGCTGATTTGGGACCAGTTCGGGGAGGCAGAGATAGATCTGTTCGCCTCTCGGGACTCGTCCCACTGCGCCCAGTTTTATTCCCTGACCTGGGGTACGCTCGGCTCAGATGCGCTGGCGCACAGCTGGCCACGGGGCCCACGCAAGTATGCGTTTCCCCCAGTGAGCCTCCTTGCACGGGTGTTGTGCAAGATCAAGGAGGACGAGGAGCAGGTCTTGCTGGTAGCCCCCTACTGGCCCACCAACACGTGGTTCTCCGAACTCATGCTCCTCGCGACAGCACCTCCTTGGCCTATTCCTCTGAGACAGGACCTACTCTCTCAGAGACGGGGCACTCTGTGGCACCCCCGTCCCGATCTTTGGAGGCTGCACGTGTGGGCAGGTTTGAGTTCGCTGCCACCTGCGGTGGCGGCAACCATCACTTCCGCAAGAGCGTCGTCCACGAGACACCTTTATGCGTTGAAGTGGAACCTCTTCGTCAATTGGTGTTCTTCTCGCAGAGAAGACCCCCGGAGGTGTTCGATCGAGGTCGTGCTTTCCTTCCTGCAAGAAGGGTTGGAGCGCAGGCTGTCGCCCTCCACCCTTAAGGTTTACGTCGCGGCCATTCCCGCTTCTCATGAAGCAGTGGAAGGTAAGTCCTTAGGGAAGCACGACCTGGTCATCAGGTTCCTGAGGGGAGCGAGGAGGCTGCATCCGCCTCGTCCTCCCCTCGTACCCTCTTGGGACCTCTCGGTAGTTTTAAGTGCTCTGCAGAGGCATCCCTTTGAGCCTTTGCAATCAGTAGAGTTAAAGTTTCTGTCCATGAAGACAGCACTCCTGGTTGCATTGGCCTCCATCAAGAGGGTGGGGGACCTGCACGCATTCTCCGTTGACGAAGCGTGCCTGGAGTTCGGGCCGGCTTACTCTCACGTGATCCTGAGACCCCGGCCTGGATATGTGCCCAAGGTTCCCACCACTCCCTTCCGGGACCAGGTGGTGAACCTGCAAGCGCTGCCCCTGGAGGAGGCAGACCCAGCCTTGGCACTGCTCTGTCCGGTACGTGCTCTCCGCACCTATGTCGACAGAACGCAGTGTTTCAGGACCTCAGACCAGCTCTTTGTCTGTTATGGAGGGAGCCAGAAGGGAAGGGCTCTCTCAAAGCAACGGCTGTCCCACTGGATAGTGGACGCCATTGCTTTGTCTTACCAGCAGCAAGGCCGTCCGTGCCCCCTTGGTGTGACGGCCCATTCCACTCGGAGTGTGGCCTCCTCTTGGGCTTTAGCGCACGGCGCCTCGCTAACAGACATCTGCAGAGCTGCAGGCTGGGCGACACCCAACACCTTCGCCAGATTCTATAATCTGCGAATTGAGCCAGTGTCCTCTCACGTTCTCGTTTCGGCCAGTTCTGGACCTGCTCAGGTGTCTTCGCTTGCTCGCCACTCCACTCCCCAGACTGGATAAGAGCGATATTTCCTCAGTTCTTCCATTGAAGTCTTGAGTCCTCCAGCACCGACGATGCGGGCACCACTGCTGTTGCTCTGGATGCTGTCTAGGTGCCTCCATGCGTACGGTTCCCCCATGGTAACCGTCTCATGTGTATTATCCACTGTAAGCCTCTCTGAGCATGTGTCTTCCCTTGGCAAGCCATCTGCCACCCCTGGAGCTGAAATCTTAGCAGCCACCTGCGGTTGGCGCTCCAGTGTCTCCATATGCGTTCCTTCGTGGCCATATGAGTATTCTTAAGTCCTCCCTTCGGTAGGCATCTGGTAACATGTCCCTCCCGGGATATGTTTCCCAGTGTACCTTGGTAATCCTGTGTCAAAGTAGAATCCCTAAAAAAAAAAAAAAAGAGAGGAGGGGTCCAGACTTTCGCAGGGCACTGGAAGACAGCTTGAAGATGGCGTGATGGCACAGACCCCCAATCTCCGTCACTTCTGACGTAACTCGAAGTGACTACGAAAGGGAACGTCTCGGTTACGTATGTAACCCTCGTTCCCCGAGTAGGGAACGGAGACGTTACGTCTCCCTGCCACTTCTGCTGTATCGCTGGGTAGACGCCGAGTTCAGTCTTGGCTCCTCAGCGAAGACATACTGCGGTTGCGTTCACTTCCTCCTTTTATACTCACGGAGTAGGGCGGAGTACGCTATGCAAATTTCCGCAGTCCCAAGGCATTGCATGCCATTGGCTCGTTTTTAAATACTCGAAGAGGATTGGCTTTCTATGCGAAACCCCCAATCTCCGTCACTTCTGACGTAACGTCTCCATTCCCTACTCAGGGAACGAGGGTTACATACGTAACCGAGACGTTTTCCTTTACTAAAACCTTCAATTATTTGTTTTCCAATTTAGCTGTGAAAGACACAAATACGGAAGAACAGAAGAAAGATACAGGTAGGTTATGACATCTCAGTCATATATGCATTCACTGTACAGTTTTTGTACAGCTTGTGGTTTGTTCCATCCTGTCCCTTATTCTCTCCTGCTTTGCTCCACTCTCTGACTGATTAAAGATGAATAACGGCAAACAAACAAATAAAATAACAGTGCTGCCCAATCCTGTTCCTGAAGATCTGCCTTCCTGCAAAGTTCATCTCTACCCCTGATCAAATAACGCTTCATGAACACTTGATCAGCTGAACTCTGCAGGAACAGGAATAGGCTCTCCTGATCGAAAATATCTCATTGTGCTTCAGAGCTTATAGTTGAAATGTTTCAATTTTGCAGAATGACAATGTATAAATACAGTCCATTCTTAAACATTTTGATTTGATAAGGTAAAATGAGGTGGTTACAAACCCCAAATCATCACATGTGATGAAAATCAGTTTATGACTGTAGAATTCACAACCTCAGCAAACACTGATACAGCACTTTCCATAATTAAGAACATCATCATTTTATACGAACCTGATCTGAAAGTCTTGAAACACTGACACAACTTTAGTAATTCCTGGATGAACAGTAGGAGCAGTGTGATGTTTTATGAGGCTATATAAGCTGGAGTTTAATGGTGACCTCACGAATTAACTTTGACCCTGGGCATAAGAAGCGGAACTGACAGCAATTCAAGTTAATATGTATAATAATAGCCACAAGGGACCAGAAACATTTTGTTTAGCCATATATTTCAAAACATCTTTTGTGTTGAGCAGAAGAAAGTAACAACTTGAGGGTGAGTAAATGATGACAGAAATTCTGGGTGAACTGTCCCTTTAAAAAACATTGCTTTATGCTGTAATAGTGTAATTGAAGTTACAGACAGATATGTGTGTGTGGATTATGAGAATCTGTTTCTTCATGCTGGAGAGTTTGATATTAGTGGTACACTCGTGACAGGTGAACTCAACTCTTTAGAGAAACACAAGCCCCAGTCCTAACTGTAGGTGTTTACTTCTCTTCTTGTTTACAGCTTTGGCTATATAGAATAGTTTCAAAAGGGTTTAAAATGGTATGTGTCAATGCCATGTCTGATTGTACCAGTAGGTGAACACGACTCATCAAACCAAGAAGAGAAACCCACAGGATTGAGTCCTGACCAGACTAGTCCTTCAGCAGGTGTGCATGTTTCTCATATAAAAATACTGCTGTAGTATGATTCTGTATATTTGTGATAGAACACAAAAGGGTGGTATTGCTATTAAACACTTTTTTTAACCTAGGAGAAAAAACATTCTTAAAAATATGTTATTTCTGTACATTAACACTAATACACCATATTCACTAGATTGCATTTAGAGTAAAACTAATAACAGTTTCTTCTAGATTATTTTTTATCCCACAACTATCATTTATTTATACATTTTAACTAGAATATTAAGACTTTCATTTTGCTCTGAAATATATGATTCATCTTGGGTTTTTTTTTTCATGCATGCTTGTATCATAATTACTTTTGTAAACATAAGACACTGAGACCTAGAAGAAATCACTCACATGAAAGTATGACTGGTGTTGTTTCCAGATGCGGGCAGTTCCCTATCGTAGTCACTTCGAGTTACGTCAGAAGTGACGGAGATTGGGGGTTTCGCATAGAAAGCCAATCCTCTTCGAGTATTAAAACACGAGCCAATGGCATGCAATGCCTTGGGGCTGCGGAAATTTGCATAGCGTACTCCGCCCTACTCCGTGAGTATAAAGGGAGGAAGTGAACGCAACCGCAGTATGTTTTCGCTTCGGAGCCAAGAGAACCTCTTCACTCCTGAAAGCACTGTTCAAGACTCTTCGAGACGAGCGTCCTCTTCAGTGTTGGTGTGACGGCGGTACCCAGCGAGATTCTGCATCGCCTGCGATCTGAGCAGTGGTCTGCCAGACTTTGCGCTTCTCCCTGGTCGCTTCAGCGCTGAAAGAGTGAATTTCCTCCTCTCATTGAAAGAGCTGCACGCGCACGTCTTTTTAAAGACGGTTCGCCCGTGCTCTTCTGGGTGTGATTGATTTCTGTCGTCATCTGATGGTCACGATCGCTGCTTTGTATGCCTGGGCATTTCAGCATGCAGCAGCAGCGTTCGTGGATGACTCATTTTCCTTCTGTGGGAACATGACCATCTCTACACTGAGGTCGAGACTCAATGATCTCACTTGAGTGAGAGTCCCGGTCCCCCCGCCTCGATCGGTTTCCTCCATAGGGGGCCCGTCGACCCGGGGACCTGGTGATTTACGGTGATGGTGTGGGATAAAGCCCCGACGATTCCTCGGGCCACACCTCCCGCCTCAGTGCGAGAGCCAGCGAGCGTTAGTTCGATTCAGTCGGTTGCTTCTTCGGTGGCACCGGCTGCTTCGGGCAGCGCTCCAGATGATGATGCGATGTCGATCACAGCATCACTAGGCGGGCTTGACTCCTCGGGAAGTGAGGATGCGGCCGCGTTGCCTCCCTCGGGAGCGTCAGCGCCGCCGTGTCTGATCCCGCGATGATGGCCGTGCTATCTCGGGCGTCCGTGAGCATCGGGTGGGGGTGGAACTCCGCCCCTCCCCGATCTCTCGCGGCTGAATAATTGGTTTTTGGGTAACGCTGCCGCCTTACGGCCACGGCCAACCCCAATTTCCTTTTTTCCCCGAGTTGCATGCGGAACTGACACGCACTAAAAAATAAATAAATAAATAAAAATAAAAAAGCGTGCTTAGTTCCCCGCCCTTCCTCCCCTCGGCGATGCGGCTGTCTGTGGGTACGCTGGGGCTCCCCCGGTCAACCGGCGGTTGCTCTCAGATGCCCCTCCAAAGCCTATGGGTTCTCGTCGTCTATGGCGGCGCGATTCTGTAGAGCGGCGGGACAGGCAGCCTCCGCCCTGCATATGATGAGCACCTACAAAGCTAGCTGCTCAGGAATGTGCACGAGGAGGTGACGGACCAAGCGAGCTGCGAGCCTGTCGCCTACCTTGTCCTTAAACGGGTCACGGAGGCGGTCGCTCGCTCCCTTGGTCAGGTGATGCCCACCGCTGTGGTCCAGGAGCATCATAATGTTCGGCGGTGCGGTCCAGGACTTTGCCCAGCACTTCTCGACCGCCTAGGAGCAGACGAAGGCGGTTTCTCTGCCCCGACGGCCAGCTGCTGCCTCCAACCAGCCGTCGGCTCGGACGCCTCCGCCAGCTCGCCGCCGAGGACGCCCCCCTGCGGCTCCCTTCCCTCCCACGCGGCCCCAGCAGCAGCCTTCAGCCGGTTCGCGTCGCGGAGGAGGCCACAGGTAAGCGTCCCAAGAAAAGAGCCCCCCTCAGGCCGCGTGCCCCGCTAGACGCCAGGCGAAGCGATGTTCCTGAGGCGGGCCGCTCAGTGATAGTGTCATGGTTTTTCTCAGGAGGCGGTGGCAGGGCCCCTCCTTCCCCGGTGGAGGGCCGGTGGAGAATCTTTTGTTCTAGCTAGCTCCCTGAGCTGGTTGAGGAAAAGCTGACACTGTCATTGAGCACACAGACTGGAATGAGCGCGCACGACGTCCAGTGCGTCGCCCCGTTCATTCCTCTCTGTCTCGGAGGGCGCGGAAGGGTGCGTGTGTCGTCCCCGGGCTACGCCAATCCCTTCCCCCTCTGTCGCCAGACCCCGGCAGAACAGACCCCGTGGAACGCTCTGCCTTCCCTGGTCTCTTCTGTCGGGGAGCGGGTTTCGACGGTGCATCCGGACGGGGTAACTCCTGCACGCATGCCGGTCGACCCGCCTCGCTGCCCCTCCGGGGGGACGTCTGTGGTTCGCATGACCCCGTTGGCTCACTTCCTGGAAGCCTGGCTAGCGCTTCCCGGGGTTCCCGCTGGGTCATCAGAACGATCGGATTCGGCTACGCGATTCAGTTCGCACGGTCTCTTCCCCGCTTCAGGGGAGTTCGCTCCACGATGGTTGGTGGCTATGCCCAGTCTTGAGAGCGGAGATTGCGACCCTGCTGGCGAAGGGTGCAATCGAGACGGTCCCTCCAGCCGAGGTGAGGTCCGGGCTTACAGCCCCTACTTCATTGTCCCCAAGAAAGACCGGTGGGTTACGACCGATCCTGGACTTGCGCATTTTGAGCCGTTCTCTCCATCGACTACCGTTCAAAATGCTCATGGCCAAACGCATTTTCGAATGTGTTCGGTATCAGGATTGGTTTGCAGCGATCGACCTGAAGGACGCGTACTTCCATGTCTCCATTCTCCCTCGACACAGACCGTTTCTTCGGTTTGCCTTCGAGGGCCGGGCATACCAGTACGCCGTTCTCCCATTCGGGTTAGCTCTGTCCCCTCGGTGTCTTCACGAAGGATCGTCGAGGCAGCCCTTGTTCCCCTTCGCGAACACGGGGTTCGCATCCTGAACTATCTCGACGACTGGCTGTTACTAGCACACTCTCGAGCTCAGGTTTGCGAACACAGAGACCTGGTGCTACGGCACCTAGCCCGTCTGGGCCTTCGGGTCAACCGGGAAAAGAGCAAACTTTGCCCGTGCAGAGGATCTCTTTTCTCGGCATGGAGATAGACTCGGTCGCCATGTCCGCGCAGCTCACGAACGAGCGCGCGCACTCACTGCTGGCTTGTCTTCGACAGTTCGAGGGCAAGAGTGCGGTTCCACTGAAACTTTTCAGAGGCTCCTGGGGCATATGGCACCGCGGCCGCGGCAACGCCGCTCGTTTTGCTTCATATGAGACCGCTTCAGCTGTGGCTTCGCGATCGGTCCCGAGGTGGGCATGGCATCGCGGCTCGCTCCGAGTTCCAGTGACTCCGACGTGCGCCGTTCCTTCTTCCCGTGGTCGAACCTCAGCTTTTTACGGACAAGGTCCCTATTCAGCGAGTTTCCAGGCATCTCGTTGTCTCCACGGATGCGTCTACCACGGGTTGGGGTGCCATGTGCAATGGGCATGCAGCCGCCGGTTCCTGGACAGGAGCCCAGCGCCTCATGCACATCAATTGCCTCGAGCTGTTGGCAGTACGGCTCGCCCGGCACCGCTTCCGAGCGTGCTCTAGGGCCAGCATGTGCTTGTCCGCTCAGACAACACTACGGCAGTAGCGTACATCAACCACCAGGGGGGGTCTACGCTCGCGCCGGTTGTCGCAGCTCGCCCGCCACCTCTTGATATGGAGTCAGAAGCACCTGAGGTCCCTTCGTGCAGTTACATTCCTGGAGACCGGAACCGGGCAGCCGACGAGCTGTCCCGGGCCCGTCCCATCTCCGGCGGATGGCGACTCCATCCCCAGTCGGTCCAGCTGATTTGGGACCAGTTCGGGGAGGCACAGTTAGTCCTGTTCGCCTCTCGGGACTCGTCCCACTGCGCCCAGTTTTTCTCTGACCCGCGGCTCTCTCGGTTCGGATGCGCTGGCGCACAGCTGGCCACGGGGCCCACGCAAGTGTGCGTTCCCCCAGTGAGCCTCCTTGCACGGGTGTTGTGCAAGATCAAGGAGGACGAGGAGCAGGTCTTGCTGGTAGCCCCCTACTGGCCCACCAAGACGTGGTTCTCCGAACTCTTGCTCCTCGCGACAGCACCTCCTTGGCCTATTCCTCTGAGACCCGGACTACTCTCTCAGAGACGGGGCACTCTGTGGCACCCTCGTCCCGATCTTGGAGGCTGCACGTGTGGCTCCAGGACGGGACGAGGCAGGTTTGAGTTCGCTGCCACCTGCGGTGGCGGCAACCATCACTTCCGCAAGAGCGTCGTCCACGTGACACCTTTATGCGTTGAAGTGAAACCTCTTCGTCAATTGGTGTTCTTCTCGCTGAGAAGACCCCCGGAGATGTTCGATCGGAGTCATGCTTCCTTCCTGCAAGAGGGGTTGGAGCGCAGGCTGTCGCCCTCCACCCTTTGGATTTATGTCGCGGCCATTGCCGCGTCTCATGATGCAGTGAAAGGTAAGTCTATGGGAAGCATGACCTGGTCATCAGGTTCCTGAGGGGAGTGAGGGGGCTAAATCCGCCTCCCTCCCCTCCTGCCCTCTGGGGACCTCTCAGTAGACCTGGGTGCTCTGCAGAGGCCTCCCCTGGAGCCTTTGCAGTCGGTAGAGTTTTTTGCTGTCCTATGTGACAGCACTCCTGATTGCATTGGTATCCATCGGAGAGTAAGGGACCTGCACGCACTCTCTGTTGACGAAGTGTGCCTGGAGTTCGGGCCGGCTTACTCTCACGTATTCCTGAGACCCCCGCCTGGATATATGCCCAAGGTTCCTACCACTCCCCTGGGACCTGGTGGTGAACCTGCAAGCGCTGCCCCTGGAGGAGGCAGACCCAGCCTTGGCACTGCTCTGTCGGTACGTGCTCTCCGCACCTATGTCGACAGAACGCAGTGTTTCAGGACCTCAGACCAGCTCTTTGTCTGTCATGGGGGGAGCCAGAAGGGAAGGGCTCTCTCAAAGCAACGGCTGTCCCACTGGATAGTGGATTGCTTTGTCTTACCAGCAGCAAGGC